CCTAACCCTAACCCTAACCCTAACCCTAACCCTAACCCTAACCCTAACCCTAACCCTAACCCTAACCCTAACCCTAACCATTGAGGTGATGGGGAGGTGAGGAATTTATTAGCCCTGGTTGGGGCTGGTACAAGCCCTGTCCCATCTGAGGCAATAACCGAAATCTGAAATAAACTTCTCTATTCTCTATTCCCGACTCGCCGACTTCGGGATCTCGTAGCAAGGTGACTTGGTTACACGAGGTGGCGACACATAGTTGGAAACTCGAATGTGCTAGGTACTTGGTTGAATCCCTGCTCATCGCTGAACTAAAACCGTGGGCCACGAAACTGTTTTAGGCAAGTTTAGGAGCCAATCACACACGGCCTTCTTATCGTCTCAGCTCAAGTACTTCTCTTACTTACTGAGCGGCTAGATTCCTCGCTTCGTGCCATACTGTTATTTTTTGTGACCCTGATTCGGTAGTCAATGATATCTCGAGGCTGAGATGTAGCTACCATCGCCCTATTGAAATTTCGCTTGTCAATTTGGATGTGTCACTGATCTGAAGTGGGCGTAAAACGTTACCCGGCTGCGTCGGTTCTGTCCAACGGCTCATCTCGCAATCTGAATTCCCCGTCCGCCTGTTTCTCGCGATCTCTTCGTCATTTGAGCGATTTTTTAGCGGGTCTTCTGCCTTGAGCTTTTGTCGTCTTTAGCAGTCTCGCAAGACGCATTCAGTCGCGGTCGGCAAGGCTACGGAATCAGGGTGAAAAGAGCTTTGGAATAGGATTACAGAACTTATTGTATTTAAAGATGGGCTTCTCAACTCCAACCTAGTGCGTAATGCAAGTCTACAAGGGGCATTGACTCTCTTTCCTAAGCTCTTCCAGAGCCCTGAATACCCCCGCCTTCAGCCACAATCTTTTGGTATCTTACGTGCGATGCAATCCGAATGCGTCGTCCCCAGATGAGCAATGGGATGAAGAGCAAGCAAACAGAACTAGATATGCAGCCACAAATGATACAAATACTAGTGAGACTCATTGAGCTAAGCCATGGTACTATGGCAAAGGGTATTCCAATAGTCCCCGCGTTGCGGATGAACGTAATAAACACAAAGGAGTCCGCGGTAGCCTATGCCAGTCAGTTACTCTATAAATTCAACCCTGCTCCATGGCATCCTTCTTTACTTAGAGTGACTCACGGCTTTATAGGTGTCAATGATGATCGTGAAACTAACGTCCATCATGGAGCTCATGCCGAAAGCAAAACAAGCACCACCGATACTCGGATATATCCAGTGCATCCCCTGAGAGACTCTATGATTAGCTACTTTATTCACAATCCTTTTTTGATCACGCAATACGATTCATACTGACCAAATCTGCCGTAACACCAAATATTATCATTCCGGCGCCCATGATCAACGCAGGTAGCAGGAGTACGTAGAGTCTCATTTCAGGCTCAAAGATACCCCGGTTCTTACGCGCGAGCCTGACAACAACGTAGTCACCAAATATCCCGCCGTACAGACTGCCGATCATGTTGCCAACGAATGGGCCGATGAGCATGAGACCTACTCCAGCTGTGTTGAAGTTGTATGGTGGAGCAGCGAAAACGATGGAGTTTAAGCTTGTCAGCGCGACCAGAAATGCCACCGCATTGGCACATTGGATTGCTGAGAAGAGTACGTGCGGAAAGAGGGCCATCTTGAAAGGCGCAATGTAGCTGGAGACCAGTGGTTCGTCCGTTGTTGTGGACAAACGCATACGTTGACAGTACGTATTGGGCAGCGGGGTCGACTGCTCGGCTCGTTCGATGTCTTGAATGGGATGTGTCTCGAAAGGTTTAATATCGCTGGCAGAGTTTGCTGCGGCTGAGCCACACTTCGTTTCGTGTAGTTTATTCGCTATTTCCTCCAAATCTGGAGTTTCAGTGGTTGAGGATCCAACAGAGATGGGCACATACTTCGTCTCTTCGAAGAAAAACAAAAACAAGAGACACAAAAGCGTCAGGAAGATCCCGACAGTGTAGTAGGCCCATCGCCAACCCATCGAAGCTGCTTGGAGACCGGCGAGTGTGGGGGCGAGAAAATTCCCGATCATGACGGCGGTGATGTAAAAGCCGTTTGCTAGGCCTCGCTGATGAACGAAAAAGAGATCTGCAATCTGGCAAGAAAAATAGCGCGTTAGTGAACTTCAATAACCATTGGTGGTCAGTGAGGGCATATGTCAGTCATACCGTCATCTCGGCTATGGTCTCGTTTGTTGATCCAGCCAAGCCGTAGAGTAGGTTCGTGATATACATCTCGGGAACCGTACGCAATCGGCTGCTCCACCAGGATGTTGCAGCCATTATAGCGGTCGATAAGATATATGTGGATCGTCGACCGTACTTCTTTGTGAAGGGAATGATGCAAAGGCATCCGAGGGCGAGTCCGACGACATTGAAAGAAACACCTGCGTTGAGTTCGTCGTAGGTCATATCCAGCTCGACCGTCATTTGCTGCCAGAATATCATCTGCATAGTCATTCTAAAGGCCGAGTGTCATTGGAATAGTCGCTCAATCGATTGAAATGCCCCATTTCTTGGGGCATAGATGGGGGAGAGGGGTCTCACGCAGCGAAGACTGCCACAGTGACAGCAAGCACGAACATAGTGTTGACGCATTTTCGGGTTAGGTTCCAATTCTTGAACATAGTCAGTTTGTCAGTTGACAAAGTCGTAAACTAACAGAGAACAGCCGCAAACGACTTACCAAGGGGTCATTAGGGTCTGAGGTTGGGGTGGGAATTAGGACTAGAGTGGATTCTTCTTCTATGACAAACGATGTCAGTACAGCAAGTTGAGACAGCGGAAGGTCAAAAACTGACCTGACAAAAGTCTGGCACTGCCAGGAGGAAGGTACGTGTCTCCTTGGGGCCCATCCATGGTGCTGCTTGTTGACGAGTTTCTAACTGCTTGAGATTCTGGGTCGAGGTTATGCACGAGAGGGCCGTAGAATGAAACCTTCTCAACATGTGCCATGTTCGACAATCACAGTCCACGGCAATGCACCCTTTTGAATATCTCAGAACTCGGAGCCCAAGTATCCATTTTCCTCGTTAGAGCTTTAACTGGACGTCCACTTTTGGCTGCTGAATGATAAGCACTAACTCCACTCCAACTCGAATCTGGGGTATTAGCTAGCGACGACCCGCTTCCGAGAAGGGCGATAAAGAGCAGACACATCATTGGCTCTTAGACATACCCAAAGCGGTTTAACGTACCCGGCGAACCCTTGTCATTTTACCCTGGGGAGCGAGCTAAACAGAATTTCGATAATTACCGGATCGTGCCAGTGTAACTATGGGGCAGTCGAACCTTCCAATCCCATCTACTAATAATCCGTGTCTTGAGCCCAGGAGACGGTCGCTCAAAAAAGTGCAATCTCCACATTTCTCCGTCTGGCTTGCTCATCAATGTCGTAATCATCGTCGTCCACCTCCCAAGCCTCATCCAGCATGCGTGCAATATTATCTGCGTTCGCGGTTTTGCCGTAGGGTTGACAAATACCGCAAGCTCGGCGCAGCGACTCCATCCAGGAGGGCCGATGTCGCAAGATGGCAACTTCTAGCCGTGCCGCGACATATGGATATAGGAGCGAGTTAGATGTGAGCAAGTGGCTATACTCGGGTCGGTTCCGCGTGTCGCAGAGGGCATCAATGGCTGCCACAAGGCGACCGACGATGACCTCCGTGGATAGAGCTAGCGATGAAAGACATGGGTCTTTCCTCAGTCGCCGACCAGTGAGGATCCCCGCAAAGCGATAAGCTTCCCATAAATGGATTTGAGGTATTTCTCCAACCTCTCCTGGCCATGAAATGAAGGCACTTTCTGAAGCTTCAGTCTGAATAGACGAGAAGATATCGAGAAGTGACCTAGGCAAACTAGTAACTCCTTCAATCCCATCATCCTGCTCCGTATTGTTGGATCTCTTGCCCTGTCTCAATCTCTGCCACAGGCATAGTGTCGTGGTGGAACGGCCACGTACGAACGTCGGTATGTCCATCACTGCCATGAGTTCAAGGGGAAAGTGGGTCTCAGGATTGTCTAGGACTGCAGACGCGTGCAAACTCCCTCCTAGGCCATAGACGGTCATCATTAGTTCCAAATGAACCGACCACGGTGTGCCTTGGAAAAGCTGTGTTGGTTGAAGGGAATTGTTAGAATATGAACGACAATCAAATACAGGTCCTTCAGGGGTGCTCACATTAAGCGTGCAAATGAACAGCCCGGCGTACATCACTCCAACGTTGATGCTGCTGTCGTGATTCTCAAGCTGTTTACGGAATAAATGTAGCCCGCGAACGTAGTACTCCTCGAACAGTGATGAAGGATTGTCTGGGCTTGACACATAGAGATGGGTGGCTATGAGAATAGAGCAAAGGGCTTCCGAATCACTCGCAAGGCGGCGAAGGCTTGTTCGGAACCAGTCTTCTCGATGAGTTGAATATAGAAGAAAGATGGTGCTTTGATCAACTGACAAGTTTTGTTAGCCCAGAATTCTTTCAGCCCATGGAAAATATTCGTCCGCGGCCTTGAGTTGACAATTATTTGGATCGAAGACGTACATCTTTCGTAAAGATCTCGATCCTGCTCTGTCCAGCCCGCCCATGAAAATCCCTCTAGTGAGGATATGGGGGATTGCAGGGACGTCTGGAAGGCCTCGTTCAATGTACTGGGCATCTCAGGACCTGGAGAGCGAACCACTGGAAACGGCTTTGAGGGGACATTTGTGTTTCCTATGAAATTTCGTTCTGGTGGGATTGCCAATTCGAATGACGAAACTATTCCACTAGATGGCTTTCTGGACGTGCGCCTCATCGGCCTTGTCGTCTCTGTAGGCTCGATATGGAGCGTCTCTGACGGTTCCAGCGCTCCTGTATACCGGCGCCGTGAAGCGATGCCGGCATCCCAACGCAATACGACATTGTAGCCTGCACATTTGATACCCTGACCGAGACATTGCAGACACTCGGGTTTGGTCTCGTCGCACTTGCAATGGCGCCGTTTGCAAGTCAGGCACCCGCTACGGGATCGTGACATGTTTGCAGAGAGCTTGCTCTCAGGTTATCGATGTTGGGGTGGCTTTGCTGAAAGAAGGAGTCTTCGATGGGGAGGTGTCCAAAGGAGTTGAGTCAGTCGCTTGACGTCACAAGTCGGCTCGTGTACTGCGGTAAACCATGGGACTGCTTAGTAAGACGTCTTGTGGATGGCCGGTGATAGTGCGGCTTTCGTTGAGTTCCGGGTTCAGCTCCCCATGTGCAAAAGAAAGCAAGAGTTTTCAGTAGGTACGTGGGTGAAGCCGGGACGCTTTATGAGTCAAAAAGTCAACCTCGAGTTGACCGTTGTGTACAGAGCCTGCAATCCTCGACAAGTTGTGAATTTGAAGCGAAATAAGCTGCCGCAAATAGTTGGGTACGAAGAAAGTCTGTAGACAGGTTTGAATACTGCCGTCTCAACCCTTCCGCAAGCTGATTCCGAGCACCTCGCATAGTGCAAGACAAATGTCGTCTCATTCGTTCTGGAGCATCGTTTAGATGAATTCATCACGCAAATGTGATTCCTCGTGTGACTGCTCCACTATGTTGGTGTCCAGCTCTTAGCTTTTTTATGATTTCCTATGAAACGTCAACGATAAGTCAACATACCCACTTCCTGGCACCCCCCTGTTTCTGGCACCCACAAAAACGCGAAAATCCACCACAACCCAATGCCCACCCCCAACCTCCTTTTATCACAACATTTTCAATTCGCGTCCAAATGGGCTCATCTTTTGCACATGTCTTCTTCTATATATAATGCCTCAATATACCGAAGATCAGCTTCGTCAGGCTCTCGAGGA